GGGAGGGAGGGAGGAGGGAGGGAGGGAGGAGGGAGGAAAGGAAATTAGACTGAGGCAGTCAGACCCCCGCTGCGGCCTGCTGGGAGTTACAGTCCTCAGGCCTGGGCTCCCCAGTGTGGAGTCGGCCGGGACCCCTCACTGCCTCACCGTCCTCTGGAATTACCCGCGCATGGCCCATGGCCAAGCCCCTGCTCTGGCCCAGGGAGAGACACTGCTGCCTCCCGGGGGGTAGACTGCCATGTTACCTTTATCCAGCCACTCACAGCCTCCTGAACGCCCTGGCCGGGCCAGCCCACAAACGCACCGGGCCACGGAATGTTCTGGCACATTCCCACTGTGTCCTAGTCACAGAACTCTGGAAGTGCTGAAGTCAGAGGCCCTTTACTGACCAGCTCCGGGCCCCCGCCATGACCACCTCTCTGAGACGGGCGTTTGGCTGCGTGTGTGCGAGCGGAGGGCAGTCACGGAGCGATGCCCTCGGGCCCCTGCGCTGGGTGGCGGCCTCCTTTGACGCGACTGGGCTCCTTGGGCACCCCCCCTAAAGAATGATGGGGGGGCCTCCCGGGTGGCTTTGGGGAGTCCTTGCAACCCCCACACCTCTGACCTACACACCCAGTCGTCCTAGGCAAATATTAAAAAATAAATTATGAATGAGGGGAGGGGTTGTTATGGCACATTCCAGAACCCCTAAACCCGCCCGTCAAGACAAAACAAAAAGGATCTTTAGTAGGGAAGAAAGCTTTTTATTTAAAAAAAAGATTTATTTTAAAAAAAGATTTATTTATCTATGCACACAGAACTGGGGTACAGGCCAGAGGTGCAGGGACGGTGAGAGGCTTGCCCAGAGACACAGTGGGGAGCAGAACAGGCCGACAGACTGAAACCCACTGCTGAGGTGCTGAAGACCAGCTTCAGCTGAGGCCGTGCGGGTCCCCCGCAGGAAAGGACGCTGTGGGTGGGGTTACATCAGTGTGTGCATAGAGCAGAAAGATAACAATCACCACACTTTCCTTAAAGACAGCTCGGGACTTTTTGATCTCTTATTGAGACTGTGATATTCATACGCAGCATGTCCCTCTGGTGACCAGTCATAAACAAGTATTCCTATGGTGATTGGTTCCCAACGAAATATCCCTATAGTGACCAGTTAAGCAAAGTGTTTCCATGGTGATCAGTCAGCAACGTAAGCAGCCATTGTGCTAATTTCCCAATGAGCATACATGTCAAAGGATCTAGTGTTGAGGAACTGGGAGTCAGAAAACACCCCGGACGAGCGACATTTCCCTGCCCCTGACGAAACACGCCTTTTTTGATCTACAAAAGGAGCTTCTACTAATCACTATTCCTGCAATAGTTTTGCCAACCTCATCTCTAACACAAGAATCAAGGGGAATTTTCTTCCTTGATGGTCACTGATTATCATCCCGTTCGTCTCATCCAAAAACCCTTTCTATGTGAAAGGAGTTTGGGGTGAACGTTAGGGAGAAGAGTAGGAAAGCTTAGTATTTACAACTCTATTACTTAAAACGAAACCATGTTACTTAAAGCTATAGATTTTTTCTATGATGAGGGCACAGGGCTGACTCGGTGATGGGAAACCCGCGGGGATGACAATCGAGATGAAAAAAAATGTACAAAATGATGTAAAAATAAACTATTATATTATAAAAAAAAAAACAAAAACCTACAGATCTTTTATTGGGGACTGGGAAGGAAATGATGACAACCTTTGGCTCCCAGAATTCCTGGGCTGTGACCCGTCTCTCGTTACTGAGGGGCCTAGATTCGT